CGCAGGGCAGGGCGCGGCGGGCGGTGAGCCCCGGGTCCCGCTCTTCTCCAGCTCCCGCAGGTGCGCGCCGCTCAGGTGTCGCCACAGCGCCCGCGTCCACGCCTGGAAGCCCGGGTGGCCGCCCACCCGCTCCCCGCACAGCCGGCAGGTGGCCCAGGTGCCTGTTGTCGTCGTAGTTGGGTGCCCGGGCCGAGCCGGGGCCAGATGGAAGTAGCCCCAGGCCTCCGTGTACGGCGTCCCCAGGTGGCCCGGCGCGGCGGGTGCCAGCCCGGGGCAGGGGCCGCCCTGGCCTGCGCTGTCACCAGGACTCCAGCTGTCTTCCATGGTCTCCAGGGGCTCTTCACTCCTCATTCCTTCTGCAGTGTCTGCATCCAGGGGGGAAGAAGAAGAACAGTAACCCACTGACCAATGACTAAGTTCTTTCCATGAGGAAGACAACTCACCCACACAACACACTCCCCCCACCCCCAAAGCCTTAAAAAGGTGGCATCTGCTCTTTGATGGACAAGTTGGAATGGACCAAATGTATGGATCTAGACAAACTTTCTCTGAAAGTTAAAAAAGAAAATAATACTTAGACTCTGAGCTCTTCTGAGGACTTATCTCAGGAAGGATCATAGCCAAGGGAGAATCAGGCTTAGTGAACTAGCCAGTGACTGCTCATATTACCAGGCCTTGAGGGACCAGCAGCAGAGATCATAAAATCACAGAATCTATTAAATCAATGAAAAGATCAGGAAAAATATAACATCTGTATATGTATATGCTGCATATATATACACGCATACTTATATGTATATACATAGTTACACATATATGTATACACATACACATATACAGTGTATGTTGAGTTCCCTATTTTACAAAACAAATAATGGCATAAAGGGCCAGAAATGTCCTGACATAATAGTTGATGCTTTCAATACCCAATGCCATCTCCAGACAGATCATCCAAACTAAAGATAAAATTTCAGAGTTAAACTATACTGTAAATTATAGATATATGCAGAATATCCACCCAAAAGACATGGGCTGTAAGTTCTTTTCAGTGGTCGACGGAACCTTCTTTAAAACAGGACTCCTTGTAGTTTTCAAAGAAAGTCTTAATAAATACAAAGGCTTCAACAAATCATAGTGCAGTAGAACAAGAAGTCAAAAGCAATCTCTTTTGACTGTCCATACATTTAGAAGTAGACCACACTTTTTTTAAATGAACAGTGGATCTTGAAAAAAACTCAGGAAATTTCAAGTGAATATGAAAGCAGAACCTCTGGGGTACAGCCAAGGCAGCTCCAAGAGGACAACTTATAGCTCTGCATGCTTACATTAAAAATCTAGACAGGTTGCAATAAACAGGCTAATGATGTACCCCGGGGCCTTACAGAAGGAACAAGTTAAACACCAAAGGAGTAGATGGCAAGAAATTATTAAGACAAGGACAGAAATTAATGAAATGTAAATTAAATGAGTAATTTTAAAAATCAATCAAAAAGTCAGTTCTTTGAAAACAACAATCTCAGAATGACAACCCTCTAGCCAATATAACCAAAATAATGAGAGACTATCCCAGTGTGTAAAACTAGAGATGGACTGAAGGAGGGCACACCAAATCCTAATGAACTCAGAGATTAGCACGTGTTTTTGAAGATGTTTTCCAAAGCACTGTAAAATTCAGAAGGATTAGGCAAATTCCTGACTACATATAACCTACCAAAATTAAAATCTAGAGGATATGAACAATTTAAACAGCTTATTAGCAGGCAATGGCATTAAAGTCTCTCAACAAAGAAAGGTGAGGTCACTGCTGAATCCTATCAAACATTTAAAAGAAGCTAATACAAATTCGTCTCAAAACTGTTAACATAAAATAGAAAGAAACATTACTAAACTCTTTACAAAGCAAGCATTCCTCAATGCCAAGTCCAGATATGGACTCAACGAAGAAAACTACAGACCAATATCTCTGATCGCAATAGGTGCTGAAGTATGATCGGTCTTTCATTTCTTCAAGGCTTTCCTGCACTTATTGAGATCATATGGGTTTTCTTCCCCTGAAGCCTATTTTATGTATGCTCTTACATCTATCATCGAGAAAACCATCACCAACAAGTGATGGCCAAGACATGGGAAAAGGGAACCCCTCTCTAAGGCTGGTGGGAATGGAAATTAGTGTAGTTATTATGCTCATCAGTGTGTGTGGGGTGTTCCTTAGAAAATTAATGCCATAATACGTTACTATCTATCTGTACCATATGTGGTGTATATACGCCTGAACAATTCAAAGTCAACACACCACAGAAATATTTGCACATCCATGTTTATTGCTGAACTATTCATAATAGTCAAGATATGGAACCAGGGGCTGAAGAGATGAATTAGCAGTGAAGGGCACACATTGCCCTCTCAGAGAACTCAAGTTCAGTTCCCAGCACCATTTTGGGTGACAACTTACAACTCCAGGTCCAGGGGTACTTATGTGCATACATCCCCAAATACACATAATTAAAAATAAAAAGTACTTTTAAGAAAGATATTGAACCAGCTTAGATGTCTGTCAACAGATGAATAAAGATGTGATATATAAAGAAAAGTGAAATTACGACATTCACAGGGAAATGGATGGAATTGGAGAGCTGTATGTGAAGTTAATAAGCCAGACTCAGTAAGACAAATGCCATGTTTTCCCTCAGATACAGAATATAGATATAAGTTTATTTATAAACATTAGGTACTTGTGTAGGACATGGATGTAGAAAGTAGAGAAAGGAGTCTATAGGGTTAGGGAGGGGACAAGAGAGGACAACAGAATCCATATGTCATAGGAGCAGAAGGTAGAATCATTTAGGGGAGAAAGAAGACCAGTAAGATGGTCGAGGGGGGCAAGAGTAAGAACAAAGTGTGGAGATATATCTATGTATGAAAGTGTCGCCGTGAAACTTGAATCTATCCTTTCCAGGGCTCCTTTTAATTACTAGATATAAACAGAAGACGGGATACTATTATAGTGAATCTAATTTGTTTCATAAGTGTAAAATGATTTGACTATCTGTACCATATGTGGTGTATATATGCCTGAACAATTCAAAGTCAACATACCACAGAAATATTTGCACATCCATGTTTACTGCTGAACTATTCATAATAGTCAAGATATGGAACCAGGGGCTGAAGAGATGAATTAGCAGTGAAGGGCACACATTGACAGGCATGTGAGCCTGCACATTCTTTTCACCTGTGTCAAGGGCCCAGAGTCCCCATTGCTGATGCACCTCTAACAGTGCCAAGGGTGACTCCTGACTGCCAAGCTTTCGGCATCCCCGTGAACTGTGAGCTGGGCTGCCTGTAAATTCTGAGATGCGCAGAGGAGTATCTGCCACATGTGCTATCTGCACTGGAAGAGTTAATGTGTGCAGAGCAGGAGAGTGCTGGTTTTATGTCCTTCACCTGAGCCAGGGACAAGCAACACTATGAGATGTGGGCCAGCACAGTGCTGCCCCTCCAAGGTGCTGGAGAGGGACATCCTTTGCCTGGTCAGCCCTTTGCTGTCGGAGGTCTTAACCAATGGAAGGCAGCATGGTATGGAACTGCCCCACCTTCTCAGTCCTCCATAGTGGGCTGCATTCTGGCTCCATGTGATGGGACTTTATATCTAGGGTGGTACCCCAGTCCTAACATCTGTCCAGCCCTGGAATATAGCCTGAGTTCATTTCAGCTTCACCTGGAGCACAGCAGAAAGCCCAGGCTCATCCATCTAGCAGTGGAACTCCTCACCACCACAGAACACACCAGGAGTTCTTACAGGGGGACTTGAAAGGGCAAATGATCCAATACAAAACCAGGCAAGAAACATGAGCAAATGACTTCAGGGCCAATTCAAATGTCTTCGGAAAGGCAACTCTGTTCAGGGACGTGCTATGAGGGCAAGAGCCAAGTGTCATCCTAACATCCAAAGACAGGCAGGTGTAACTATCGAAGTCAGGAAGGGGGCAGAAAATAGGGCACATTCACTTTCCTGCGGAAGGTTGGAGCGCTTTGAGGAAGGCCATCTGGAAGTTTCTACATTAGTTAAAAATAGATGTGATATCCATTCTGTAGAACTAAAGTTATATGTGGTAGACTGTTTTATTTCATCGTTATTTAGAATGGGAATCATGGCTGAGTATATAATGCCCGTTTGCAACAGAGAATATTATGCAGTCATTCAAAGGATGGGGAATCTGCCAGGTGTTCTAGGGGAAGTTTTGGGAGTGGGGAAGAAAAGCTAGATGTTGTAAAGTGTATACAAAATCCCATCATTTCTAGATAATACCAGATCACTATAGTATTGTAAGGATACAGGTGTGCCTCAATTCATGATGCAGTTACAGCCTAGAACTCATCATATGTGGAAAACACTTTGAGGAGAAACTGCATTTAATATAGTTAGTCTACCAAGCACCATGACTGAGCACCATAGGGCACTACAGAGCATCAGCTGTTTCTGTTCATGACTTCCAGGCTCCGAAGAGCTGCAGCTGGACATTCCTGCCCAGATGCCCTTGCCGTGTGCTGTGTGCTACTAGCCGGAAAAGATCAAGTGTCAAAATAAAAACTACGGCTTCTATGGAATGTCTACCTCTTGCACACCACCATCGCGTCCAAAACTAGATGGAGCCATCTCCACAGATTTAGGTTAGGAAACAAGGAGGAGACACTACAGATTGAGGCAGAAGGTGATGGGAAAGTAGGAACCACAAAAGCCAAAAAAAAAAAAAAAAAAAAAAAAGCCTCTAAGAAAGCCATATGGTCAATATACTTATGCCTTACCACAAAGTATATATACAGCAGGGTCTATATGTAAATAAAAAGTAACTTTTAATAAACAATCCTCGGCATATCAGCTATGAGTTCAGATAGGGGCAGACCTTACTTAAGGAGGCTGAAGGCGATGGTCCCAAGAGTAAAACCCCTGCTAAGGCACTTGAGAGATCCATATGCACAGGGAGATGCCATCGAGAGGAAGGAAGTGAATGTATAGGGTCAGCCAGTACAGCATGGTTTCCGTGTGCCTTGCACAAGCAGGAGATCCTGTACCCACCGGAAGCAGAGGACATGATGGGAGAGGATGGGGTTCAACCTGTGGACCTCCTTGACACAGAGCAGACGCATTAGCTGCACCCGCTGCAGGTGCCTCTCCCAGGATGAGGATTCCGTGCTTCTAAAGGGTGGCCGAAGTGGGGGATGCCGGGCTCCCAGCACCATGCAAATTTAAGGTGTGGACTACAGAGGAGAGACTGGCATTTCCTGCTCAGCTTCCCCTACACGGAGATTTCGGTGGCTGAAAAACAGTGTTGTGTTCCTCGTGGGCATTCAAAATGGGAAGAATCCCTAAGGATTCGTAATGCCAAAGGGAAACCAGCGAGGTAAGAGACCCATGACCACTGCTCCTCAGATTTTCACTTCCTAAATGGACCTTCACACAACAAATAGCCTGCTCATCACTCAGGTCCGGGGGACCCCGGGAAGGTGGGCTAGCCCCAGCTGGGCCATGTCTGTTCTCCTTTATCGAGCCCCAAATCACGATGCATAACCATTAATTATGTGTGCAGCTAACAGAAAGAAAAGGAAAAACAAGAGCGTCCTTCATTCTTTTCCTTGAGCATTTTTTAAAAAACAGGCACAAAGTGGCCAAGAGATGCGATTATTTTGCTTATGTCCACTTATTCCATCCCACTCTCTCGTCCAAATGTTCACTATGCACCTGCTCAGAGTTCCACACGAGCCTGCTGCCGACCAGACCAGCTGAGAAGGGCAGCACAGACCCTGCCTTCTGGTAACTCACTCGCCACCTGGGAGGGGGTGAAGAGAGGTTTCCAGTGCTAATTCCGATATCCTTGGTTAAGGTTAGACCAGGGTTCGGCTCCAACGAGCTCTACTTTGTTAGTCTATAACTCGGCGTCTGAGTCACTGTTTTAACATGAAACAGTCAAGCTACACCCAAGTACTGCTGGGATGAACGCAACTTAGCCACAGCAACTTAGCAGTGGAACTTTTGAGTCCAGTTTCAAGGGTGACAAAGCCAATGTGAAGTCTTTCATGGCAAGAAGGGAGCTGAGCTTCACTTGGGGATCTGCTCTCTGGAAGGAGGACGGGTAAGCTTACATCTGTGGGAGATAACAGATTCCCATTCATTATGCCTGCATTGGAGTCTCTCCTGAGAAATTCTATTCTTCTAGTAACCTATCAGGTTAAATCCAGAGTCCTCACTGTGACCTCCCCAAGTACCAACCCAGAAGCTGAAGGAAGCCACTAAAACCCGCTGAGGTGGCTCAGCATGTAAGGCACCTGCCCCTAAGCCTGATGACCTGAGATTGAGCACTGGGACTCACTTAGTATAAGGAGAGAACCAACTCCCACAAATTATCCTTAGACCTCTACACACGTGGGCACCCACACACATACACAGAAAACAAATGCAAAACTTTTAGAAAGCTCTTGGCATGGTCTTCTTATACACTAGACATATGACCATATACATGTATACTTGTATGACTACAAATTTTGTCATAAGACAAGCAGACATTTCCACTATTGGCATAGAAGCACAATCTCTATTAATTCTTTCATTGGCAGGGGTTCTTCTGTTTTCTTTCTGTGCTGTTGGAGACTGAACCCAGGATTCACACACATTAGGCGAATGCCCTGGCATTGAGTTACAGCCCCTATAAGTGGACTTAATAAGGAAAAAAAAATTATATATATATATATATATATATATATATATATATATATATATGGTCTCAAACTCAGGACAAAGAGCTAACTGAGGTGCCTATCAAAGGGGAGGACGGCCTGGTGGCATCTCTCTCAACAGCACAATACCTATTACAGAGTCCTGGCTCCTCTCAGCACTTCTCAGTCTGCCCCTGACCTTAAACCCCCCAGCTCAAGGGCTGGGCTTCCCTTCCCCCAGTCTCTGATCCCCAGATAACCTCAACCATTTTGGCTACCCAGGCTCTTGGTGTCTTGCCCTCCTGGCTTTCTTCTGGCCTCTCAGCCCCTTTCTTCTCCCCTCTTCCTCTCTTAATCCTCCCCACACCCCCTCTCAAGAACCGGTTTAGTCTGGACCCTTCCAGATGCCTCTGGCTGTGTTCTCCCTCATCTCTGCAATAAACCTCCTCACCCCGTACCTAGGAGCATCTCCCTCATCCTTTCCACCATTCACTGCAAAGCCCCCTGCTTGGAAGTACACCTTTATTTCAGATACCCTGCTTTGTGTAGTTCATACAGTCATTCTACAAACGACCCATGGAAATGGATTTCGCTAGGGTATGCTTATGCTTGCACACCTTAGAAGAACTGGGTAGGCTAGGGGCCAAAGAACCAGGAAATGTTTTCCAAAGGCAATGGCAAGGGAGGAGGTTTGTCCTGCAGTCAAGGTTAATCACCTCAGTTTGCCGGGTGGAGTAATAAACAAATATGTGCTGATTGAGCCTAGATCTACCATGAGAAGCGGACACGATTATGAAATCCACAGATTATGTGGAAGCACTAACGGCATGTTCGTCTCCTTCATCCAACAGTGCTTTAAATCAGAGCAGACCACAATTGAACAATTAGCCACGACAGCTGAGGTGTCAAGGAAACTACAGTCCGTTCACCTGTGATCTGTCTATCTCCGAGAACCTATTAGTTTCCTGCCATGTGTTCATATATTTACAAATAGACCCAGACAACTAGAAAAATTAGTCTGTAATCATCAGCCAGAAGGCACACATGAAATTAAAAGCCAGTAAAGGGGCTGGAGAGATGGCTCAGTGGTTAAGAACACTTGCTGCTCTTCCAGAGGTCCAGCATTCCATTCCCAGCATCCAGGTCCAGCTGCTCCCAAGAGCCTGTAACCCAGCTCTGTGGAATCTGACAGTCTGTTTCCACAGGCATCCCTCATGTACATGCACACACACGGGGTCAGGGCATACACATAAAAATAAATCCCTTTTTGAAGTTGGTAAAAATGACTGCAAAGTGTAAAATGTATTGTGAAATAACTGGTTAATGTGAAAATATTAGAAAAAGGTTACATATGGGCTATAAAACAAAACACACACTGGACCCGTAGCTAATGACGTTACCTTAATGTTTTAAGCTGAATTCTCAGCTATTTCTACTATTAGCTAAAGGCCAGTAAAGAACTCTGTCAATACATTTTAAAATGAAAAGTATAAAGCATTGTGCCCTAAAGTGGACCTTTATTGCACTTGGGCATTAGTTTATTATATATACATATATAATATGTATATATGTGTGTGTGTATAACACACACACACACACACACACACACACATTCCCTTGAGAAAAGGTGGTGATCCAGTTTATCTTGAAGACCCTCATTTCTAAGGAATCATGAGGATTTAAAAATGCTCTGTTGCCATGTGGTGATGGTGAACACCTTTATTTCCAGCACTCAGGAGGCAGAGGCAGGCAGATCTCTGTGAGTTCGAGGCCAACCTGGTCTACAGAGTGAGATCCAGGACAGGCACAAAGCTACACAGAGAAACCCTGTCTTGAAAAACAAAACAAAAATAAAATGAAATAAAATAAAAATGCTCTGCTTTGAAGACCTTTGTTTTAAAATATTTTTAAGTTGAGAATTACCTGGTTTTGGACTCTTGGTATTTTTACACAATTTCCTAACTTTTTTTTGTCACTTGCCTCGAACTATTTTGGAGGCCAAAAGGTGTACTAATACAGTGCAGGAAACTGCCAGGAGTGGTGGCCCATGTTTTAAATCCCACACTTGGCAGGCAGAGGCAAGTGGTCTCCCTGAGACCTAGGCCAGCCTAGTCTACAGGCAAGTTCCAGATCACCCAGGGATACACAGTGAGACCCTGTCTTTAAAAAAAAAAAAAAAAAAAATCAAGAACACTAATTATTTCAATTTATGAAACTAACCTTTAACAGCTGTTCTAAACCCCGGATCTCAGCGATGGCAAGTACTTATTTCTTTTTTCTCCCAATGAGGAAACCCACAGCCTGTTTAGGAAAAACTCTGGGAAGGGTCACGGACGGCTTACACCACCAGCTCCAGACAGTGCGCTGGGAAGGATCGGGGAACTCTTTTGTTTGTGTCTAGTGGAGGAGGGGATACTGGCTCACACCGGTTTTCTTCCCTGCACAAGTGGGAAACACGAACTAAGTCCACAAAATTCGTGCAAGAGGCCCCTGCTGGGCGCACAGCTACCGGCTGGGCTCAGAGTCAGTCTTCAGGGCAACTTTACCGGGATGGTTTTTCCTTCTTCCCCGGGAGCTGGGAAGCCCAGAGGCCTCTCCGCCAAGCCAGGGGTGGCAGGCACCCCCGGCAGGCACTCACAGATCCCGCCCGGGAGCAGCACGACCAGGGGTCTCCCGAGGTCCCCTAGGTCCCCGCGGTCTCCCCGCACCCCACTCACTGCGCTCAGGCCGCAGGCGTCCCTCCCCTCCCGCCACGCCTCCACCCGCGGTCTCCCCCGGCCCCCGCCCCCAAGGCTCCCCCCCAGGACCTCCAAACTACCGCAGCTCCCGGGTGTCCACGCAGCCCCGTGATGTCCTCGCGATCCCCGGGTCCCCGTCCTCCCGGCTCCGCGCCGCCGGCGTCCCTCCCCTCCCGCCACGCCCCTGCCCCCCGGACCGGCCGCGCGCCGCAGTGCCCCAGCCAAGCTCACCCGGACGTCGCCGCGATGCTCGCCCCTCGCCTCCCGGCTCCTCGCAGACATTTTGTCCCGGACGGAAAGGGCCGCTTCCCCCCTTAAAGCCACAGCGCTCAATTCGAGCATCTGGGGGCGTCCGGGATTGGGGGTGGGGGAGCGATGACGCGTGGTCTGGACGCCCGAGCGCCTGGGAGCCCCTCTTAAAACCATCCCGGTCGATGAGGGGTTTAGAGGAGCGGGTGGAGAACTAGTTTAATGAGGTGAAATTTTTCCGGGGTTTTAAAATGATGCAAGAGCACAGTGATGCTGAACATGTTAACTGCGGTTCTGCACGTTTGCGTTAACCTTCCAAGACCTGGATTCAGCTGGTCCAGGTCCTCCGCGGGGCGCGGTGCTCGCGATCTTTCATCAGTTTAAGATCTCTGATGGGGGAAAAAGTCAGAAATCCTTGCAATCAAGGTCTGAAGAGGAAAAGGTGTTCACCAAAACATGAGCATGGGGTACTACTTTTGTCTTGATTATATCCAGTAACAGCGTCTTCGTGATTTACAACAATTACATCAGCTGCGCGCGGCTTCGTTCTAAGGCGGTTTTCTGTCTTCCACGCTCTGGGTGGAAAGATAAACTTTTTCAGGACTTGCTCGCTGCAGTGCGGGTGAGCGCCCTGGGGCTTTGCAGGTCGAGGGAGGAAGTCCTGTTGTATAGTGTTTGCTGTTTCAGCCAAGTAAATATTCCCACCAGGTGGATTTTAATCTACAAATAGTCGTAAAGAAATGACTTTGCCAAGTTCCTGGATGCACCAGTTAGCTCTTGTGAAATGGCACATTCTGCTCTTCGTTTATTCATTTAAAAATTGCGCTTTTTTGTTTGTTTGTTTGTTTGTTTTTTTAATTACTGGTGTATTGGGGCAGGCAGAGTGGTGGATCTGTGCGTGTATGAGTGCAATGCCAGTGGGGTCCAGAAGAGGGCGATGGATCTCCTGTAACTGATTGGGCGATTAGCAATGGCCTGTAACTCCAATGTGGGCTAGGAATCCAACTTGAATTCTCTGGAGGGGTGGTGGTACCTGTTTTTACCCTCTGAGCTATCTCTTCAGTCCAAAGCCTTGCTAGCTGGGAGACGATGAGCAAACAAACATAAAAATAAAAGAAACAAGAAATGATTGGGTAAATAGTACAATCCATGTTGATTGCTTGGGTTCAGTAATTTAGAAATGGAATTGCTGGGGATGAACCCTTATCCTTGCTCACAATGAGTGCTTGCTTGCTGGGCCATGGAACTATTACTACAACCCTCCTCATTTTTTTTTTTTAACCTGATAGGTAAACCATGGAAAGTCTATTTGTTGACTTTTCTTTTTACTATGCCAAAAAAGATTTCAGAAGAAAGAAAAGCCTGGTTAGGTATCTCTAAAGGAATAATTTTGCAATGGAGAGGTTAACTATTAGATCCCTTACTACCTTTTAAATTGTATTTAAAACTGTTTTCATACACCATTTTTTATCATAGTCCTTTTTTAACCCACCAAATCAATAAAAAAGCACATAAAAACATGGTATATTATACTTATAGAATGAATATACATATTATGAGAATGACTTACAGGCTGTGGCCCAGATAATCCAGCAATGGCTGCCTATGAACAGAAAGTCGAAGAATCCAGTAGCTGTTCAGTCCATGAGGTTGGATGTCTCAGCTGGTCTTCAGTAGACACTGGAATCTCAAAAAAAGTAGGCTCTAATGCCAGTGAAGGAATGAACTTGCTAGCAAGCAGAGAGTAAGCAGGCAAAGAGCAAAAGCTTCCTTCTTCCATGCTTTATATAGGTATGGGCCAGATTAGAGGTGGGTTTTTCCACCTCAAAAAAAAAAAATCGGGATTACAGGTGTATCGTTGCAGAGTGCATTTGTTTAACTATGTAAGATGTGTTGCATTTGTTTAATTATGTAAAGATGTGCTGCTGTTTTTACCTTGCCTGCCTAAGGCACCTGATTGGTCTAATAAAACGCAGAACAGCCAGTAGCAAGGGAGAAGGTATAGGAGGAACTTCTGGGCAGGGAGTGTAAGTAGGAGGAGGAATTTAGGCTTGGAGGAGAAAGAAAGAAAAAGAGATGCCAGGGAGATGCCATGGGCCAGCCAACCAGATATGAGGGAAGCAGGAAAGCAGGACATACAGAATGAAAGAAAGGTGAAAGGCCCCTGGAAAAACGTAGATGAAGAGAAACCGGTTAAATTAAGTTAAAAGAGTTAGTGGGACAAGCCTTGGCTAAGACCTAGCATTTCATAGTTAATAATAAGTCTTTATGTTTTTATTTGGGAGCTGGTTGATGACCCAAAGAAAATTCCAACTACAGTGTATCTTCTTACCTCAAAAATCCTGAATGGAAGTGGATCTTCTCACTTCAAATTATGCAAAACTCCCTCACAGGTATGCCCTCCATTTTTGGGTTTTAGTTAATTCCAGATGTAGTCAGGCTGATAACCAAGAATTGCCACCACACACGGAGATGGGTTTGTGTTGGCTAATTACTCGGAGCATGAGGCCTGGTGTGCGATTGATGTACAGTATTACTCTGTTGGCAAACAAATGTCCCCCTCTCTCTCAGGGGGAGTGGGACTTCGTGCGGACTTCTTCCCTGCACTGGGTTGTTGTCTGGCTGGTTGGTCCTTTTGCAGCCTTTACACCCTGTCACATCTCTGTGAGTTATTATGTGCATCAGACTTACTATGTCTGAAGGATACTGTTTCCTTGGAATCATTCACACCTTCGGTCCTTACAATCTTCCCACCTCCTCTCCTACATAGATCCCTAAGCCTTGAGCGGAGAGATGTGATGGAGACATCCCGGTTAGGACTGAGTGCTCCGAAGTCTCCCACTCTCTGCACGCTGTCCAGCTGTGGGTCTGTGTTAATTCCTGTCTACTGCAAGAAGCTCCTCTGATGAAGGTTGAGTGCTGCCCTGATTCCATCTGTGGGTGCAGCAATGTGTCACTAGGAGTTGCTTATTGCTGTGTTAGTTTAGCAGAATCTTTTTTTTTTTTT